CCTCCATGGCTACCACCGAGATTAAATTTACAATGTATATGAAGCTCCTATCCCCATCTCAGAGTAAAAGCTCTACAAAATAGTAGTGGTAAAGAAAATAATGATGACATCACTCTTCACATTTTGCTGTGGACCTTGGAATCTGACTCAGTTTTATTCAGTCCCATGCTGCCATCATGCCCTGAGGACTGCAAAATTCTTATTGGTAGCTAACGTGGTGTAACCTTTTTCTCCTGTACTCAACTGACTTTCGTCTCCAAACACTTTCCAAAACACCTACTGGGCAATAACATATTTTATCACCCAAAGAATCCAGTCCTTATGACCACCTCCACTTACTGTCTGGCTACTGGTGGAGGAAGGGGGAACTGAGCAGAGCCTAAAAGACTCTCTAAATTGATGGTACAGAGGTGGTAGACCAAGGGCAAAGGTGGCTAAGATTCACATTGAAGAGAACCTGAGGGGACAGCTCCATGGAGAGAGTACTGCTGAGATCTTGCAGTACCCTTGACTAGTAAGCTAAGAACTGATCTTACATGCATGCGAGGAATGAGCCAAAAATTGAAAAAATCAATTAGAACGATTAAAAGGAACAATCCCTAGAGTTCACATGCTACCAGAAATAGTAGATGATCCCAATAGCTAGAATGGAAAACCTTCTAATTCACAAGGTATCAGGTGAAGGACTCAGAAGGGTCTTTCCACAAGTACAGGAAACAATTAATTAGCCCTCACTAAATGATGAGCTGGTCTCAGCCAACAAAGCTGAAAAGCAAGACTTGCAAAGAACAAAATGTTTCCAAGTAACTTAACCTTGTCCCAGAACAAAGTGTAAGAATGTTTATAGGAACACAAAAATATCTAGCTCTCAACAAGGTGAAATTCAAAACATCTGGCATCCTATTACAAATTAAGCATGTAAAGAAACAAGAAAACTGGAACCATAATGAGAAAAAGCAATCAAAACCAACCCCCACTAACACTAACTGTAGTATTATCAAGCAAAGACATAAAAACTTATTATAACTGTGTTCCAAGGGAAGTTAGAAAATATTTTGAATTGAATAAAATAAAGCAAAGCACATCAAAATGCAGGATGCAGCTAAAGCAGTACTTATGTGGACATTCATAGCACTAAAATAACGGTTGGAAAGAAAAGTGTTCAATCAACAAATAAAACCCCCAACTTAAGAAACTATCAAAATAAGAACAAATAATCCTCAAGCAAGAAAAAGACCTAATAAATGCAATAATTAATACATTTAAATAAAAATAAAAAATAATCAAAGAAATGAAATCTGGTTCTTCGAAAGATCAATAAAATTGATAGACTACTAGCCAGACTGATTAAAAAACAAGAAGAAACATCAATAATTACATTAAAAATGAAAGAGGAGATGTCACTACAAACTCCACAGACATGGAAATCATAATGAGAAATATTATGAACAATTCTATGCATATAAGTTCAAAATCTTAGAAATAATGAATGAATTTCTCTTTTTTTAGTATTTTTATATTGTTGTTCTATTACAGTTGTCCCAATTTCCCCCATTGCTCTCCCACACCCTGCTTCCACAGTCAATCCCCTGTTGTCCATGTCCATGGGTCATTTATACCTGTTCTTTAACTAGGACCTTCCCCCTTCTTTTCTCTTTTATGCCCCTTTCCCCTCCCCTATGGTCCCTGTCAGACTGTTCCTTATTTCCATGCCTCTGGTTCTATTTTGCTATTTTTTTGTTTTGTTCATTAGGTTCCACTAATAGTGGTATTTGTTTTTTGCTGCCTGGCTTATTTCACTTAGCATAATACTCTACAGTTCCATCCATGCTGTTGCAAAAGGTAGGAGTTCCTTCTTTCCTTCTACTGTGTAGTATTCCATTGTATAAATGTGCCATAGTTTTTTGATTCACTAATTTACTGATGGGCACTTAGGTTGCTTCCAGGACTTGACTATTGTAAATTGTGCTGCTATGAACATAAGGGTGCATAGGTTCTTTTGAATTGGTGTTTCAAGATTCTTAGGGTATAATCCCAACAGTGGAATTGCTAGATCGAAAGGCAGTTCCATTTTTAGTTTTTTGAGGAAATTCCATACTGTTTCCAATGAATCAATTTCTTTAAAAAAACTATCAAAAGTCAATCAAGAAGACATATATATACTGAATCTTATATTTGTTTCTAGAAATTAAATTCATAGTGAAAAATCTATTTCTAAAAATCAAATTAATAGTTAAAAAAACAAACAAAATACCTTCAAGTCAGAAGACTTCACTGGCAAATTCTACTAAACACTTAAAGATGAGATAAAAGTAATCCTAAACATTCTTCCAGAAAACAGAAAAGGAGAAAACCCTTCCCAACTTTTTCTGAGGCCAGAATTACCCCTATGCCAAATACCTGAAAAAGACAGTATGAGCAAACTACAGACCAATATTCTCCATGAACATGACTGTAAAACCTCTTAACAAAATATTAGCAAATCAAATCCACAATGTATAAAAAGAAAATCATATCCCAACCCAATGGGGTTTGTATCAGGGATGTAAGCCTATTTAAGATTCAAAAATAAGCCATGCAGTGTATCACATCAAAGTACTAGAGAAGAAAAACCACATGATCATATGCTTGATGCAAAAAAATTGATAAGATTTAATGTTTATTCATTACTTAAAAAGATACTCAACAAATTAGAAATAGAAGAAATTATCATCAACCTGATAAAGGGTGTTATGCTTAATGATAAAAGACTGTATACTTACACCTATGATTGGGAACAAGATGAGGATGTCTACTTTTTCACTTTTTTTCTAGGGGGGAGCACAAAGACAGTTCCCCACTACCACAAATTATATAGTTGAGTTTCCCACATTTGAGGAAATCTCAGGGGTCAGCATACCCAGAGTGTAATGGGTGAGGCTCACCCTGAGAAAACCACCTTCGTGATCATGGTATCTCCCCTGCCAGGTAAGTATAGTTTTATCACTTCTTTTCAACATCATACTGAAAGTTCTAGATAGGGCAATAAAGCAAGAAACAGAAATAAAAAACATTCAGCTCAATAAAGAAGAAATAAAACTGCCTATTCACAGATGATATGACTGTCTATACAGAAAATCCCAATAAATCTATGATTTAAAAAATCCCTTTTAGAAATAATAAATTAGTTTAGCATGATCATAGTATTAATAAAATCGACTTTGCAAAAAAAATCCCAATCCAATTAAAAAGTAAGCAGAGACATTTCTTTTTCCAAAGAAGATATATATAAATGGCCAACTGGTGCATTAAAAAATGCTCAGTATCATTAATCTCAGGATAAAATGCACAATGAGATATCACCTTATACCTATTAGAATGTTATTATCAAAAAAAAGCAAGAAACAACAAGTATTGTCAAGTGTGTGCACTGTAGGTAGGAATGCAAATCGGTGCAGCCACTATGGAAACAGTACAGATGTTCTTCAAAAAACTGAAAATCAAACTGGCATTTTTTTCACTGCCCCACTCCATCTATATGGTCCCCTGGTACTTCTCTCATTCTTGTGGGGGGAAATTGATCATGTTATAGGACTGTTATACTCCAACCCATTTCCCCCCAAAATATTCAGCTGCTTGAGTGTAGGGGACCGGTTTGTCTTGGCCTGGCAAATGTGACTCAGCTCTGTATGGAAATAAGGACAAGGACTGGGTTTTATCTGCTCCCAATGTCAAGCGCTGTGCCTGGCACGTGCGTAGTGGAGTAGTGCTGTAATCACATTTGTTGGAATGTAATTAGAATAATTGATATCAACTTAAAGCATCAGTGTAACTTTCACTTTTCACTCCATTGTCAAAGTGTGCTATAGATGCAACTTCCATCATGAGTGTATTTTTTCAGCAGTTAAAAGATTCTTATTAGGAGTTTACTCTGTGGGAGGCACCAGAAGGGGTGGTTGTGGTAGAGGGTGGAGGGTAATGTGAGTTTACGAGAAGAGGACAGATGCACATATGAAAGAAGCTAATAATAGGCAAGATTAATGCTCCTGAGGTCTTGACTCCTTTTAATATTTATTCTAATACCATTTTTCCTCTTTAATAGAATATGAGAGTCATTCAGATTTCAATAATTTAGAATATATTCCTGACTTGAATTATTGTAGTTCTCTAACCATATTTGCTGTCTCTCCAGAATAATTTCTTGCTTTCTGCTTTGAGCCTTCATTAGTTGTCTTTTTTCTTTTTAATCAGTTCTTTTCACCCACAAGTTTTCTTTTGCTATATCATTATATTTGTCTTTAAAAATATTTTTAGATTTCAAGCCTCTGAGGTATACTACTTAATCTGAAAAGACTTTGTGATGCTGTCACTCAAGCTCTGAGAAAATCATGAAAGAAAACTGTCATCCCTCAAGACCTGAATGAAAGACTCAACCTTGTGCAGGTGTCTGGACAACACATTACTGCAGGGATGTGATGGCATTTCAAAAGTGTTTGGAGAGCCTGACTGGTGTGGCTCCGTGGGTTGGGCATTGTTCCATGGACTAAAAGGTCACTAGTCCAGTTCCTGGTCAGGGCACATGCCTGGGCTGTGGGCCAGGTCCCCAGTAGGAGAGGATGTTTCTGCCCCTCTCTTTCTCCCTCCCTTCCCCTCTCTATAAAAATCAGTGAATACACTTTTTTTATTTTTTAAAGAACTTCAGATGTGTTATATTTTTGTTCTTTTTAAAATCTTTATTGTATTTTTTCCATCACCATTTAGTCTCCTTATACGCTCTGACTCCCTGCAATCACCACACTGTTGTCCATGCCCATGATAAATAAAATATTTTTTAAAGTATTTGGAGATAAAGTTTTTTTGAAATCTTATAAGAGATGAAGCTTCTTATTTATTTTATTTTGTATTTTCCTTTTCTACAGTGAAGTCATGATTTTGCTGCTGAGTACCACACATTGTTCTTTGATTCATATCTCTCCCAAGCTAATCAAAGGGTACGAGAATGCCAGCCTGGGCAATGCACAACTTACTTGATAGGCATCACGGATCTGCGCCTCATCCTTGTGCCGGGGCCGTACTAATCTTCTCCGTATCATTCCAACTTTAGTATATGTGCTGCCGAAGGGAGCACTGGAGCTTTTTATTTTGAAGGCCAGTCACAGACTATAGTTTTTAAAGAAAAGAATATGATCTTGAGCTCGATTTAAAAAAATGTGTCATATTGAAATGTCCAAAGTTTTTGTGATCATGCATATCCATCAGTAAAATTTGTCGAGTCTGCTCAAATTTATGTATATTTATTTGTTTATAAATGATATGTGTTTATAATTATATATGCATGTTAAGTTCCTCTGGCATATTTCTGGTCACAGAAACATCTATAGATTTACAAATAAAGACCCTAAATGTTTCTAATATTCAACATTAAAATAAATGTGAGCATACACACATTTAAGAAGGATGAATTCATCAAAATGGTAATTATTTTCCAACCCGCTTGTTCCATTTCAGAGTGACCTGTGGTGTGAGCCTGCCCCAGCAGCTCTGGGCACAAGGCGGAACCCACCCTGAACAGGAGGCCCCTCCAGCACAGAGCCATTCACACTCACACGGGGATGATGGAGGCGCACCTTCACCTCACGGGCACATCTTTGAGATGAGGGAGGAAGCTGGAGTCCCCAAGAAACCTTCCCAGACACAGGGAAATGTGCAAACCCTACACAGACAGTGGCCTTGCCAGGGGTCAACTTTTTCCTCCCTTTCTCATTAACATTGTAATGAATCATTATTGAAGGGAACGTTGTTAATTGTGGATCTGCTGTATATATAGGCTGTGGCACCCAGAGAAAGCCTCAGTGAAGTCAAGGGAGCATCCATAAAAATAGCTGGGGGAGAATGTTCTGGGCAGGGAGGACAGAGAGCAAGCACAAACGCCCGAGAGCAGCCTGCTGTGCTAGAGGAACAGAAGCAAGAAAGGGTACTGAGAGCTGAAAGGGGACGGGGCCAGATCAGGTAGTGCCTTGTGGGCCATGGAGGCATTTGGGTTTACTCTGAGGGAGACAGAAGCCTCTGCAGAGTTTAGAGCAACAAAGTGGCATGGTGTAACAAAGTTTGCGAATGTATTATATGAGAAATCTGGACAGAGCTGGGAATATCTACCTTAAAATGCTCTCAGGAGGACCTGGAAGAGCTGCAGTTTCTGAAAAGCCTGTTTAAATGTCTGGACAAGTAGCTGACTTGGGGCCTATCAGTATCACAGCTCGGCCTAGTGGTGTCTTCTCTGTCACAGACTACCCTGTCCCCACTCTTCACCCTGAAATTGATGGTGATAGCTCTCAAGCATCAAACCACCAGCACCAAAGGCTTTGCCTCTCAGGTGTCTCTTGAGGCAATTACTGTCTGCCTCCACTCCAAAAAAAAAAATCACATTAGCCTTAAAAAGAACCCATATACAAACCAAATTTTTGGAGCTGTTTCTGCCCAGTTATCAAAATTGCTGGGTTGGGTTGTCAAAATAATCTAGTCTTTAAAGTGCCTATGCTGTGAGCATAACCCCATCCAAATGACACAACCACTTCATTCTGGCATGAGCCTGCCTGAGACCAGAGATCCCCTTTCTGTGTTCAGGGAGAAGCATTTCTTACACTTCTCTAGTCTCCAAGTGGGGCCTCGTGCCCCCAAATGTATTTTTTGGCTACTGGATATTCCACATGACCCACATACAGTCTTTGCACTCATGGAAAGTAAGAACAGACCTTTATATTTACCTCATGGGAAGGCAGTACTGGCTTTACCACTACTGCCAACTCTCCTGGGTTGGTATTGAGTACCTGGAAGTCTGTGATGAAAAGCTGGTGGGATTTCCAAGGCATGCCGGTCAGATGAGCAAGTGACGGCACCAGTAGTACAAGTACCAACCCCTCCACTTTGCAGATCAAAAAACCACTGGTCAAGTGAAACTTTTCAAAAGACCCCAGTTCAGATGCACTATAATAAATCTACAATGGTCAAACATGGTTTCAGGTTTTGTCTAAAGCTACCCTTAGGGCCAACTTTAGAAATGGATGAATACCACTGTGATTTCACATATTGGAAAAATAGAATATTCCAAATTCCACAATTACACATCCAATAAAATTCAATTTCTCCTTTGAATTAAAGAGTGACTATCCTTGGATAAACATAACAGGAAATTATTTATGTCTTGTCTCTTTATTATGAATGATATTATTAGGTACCTTCCAATAAAATAATCTTTAATGTTATCATTTACATTTAGAGAAAGAGCATTTAAAAAAAACTGTCACGACAGTTACACCCAAGGTGGAAGGAGGAGGACTGGGCAGTAAGGCCACTAAGTTTTTCAGAAGGAAGAAGGAATACGAGGAAAAGATTGGCCTGGAGGTAATGCAGAGCCACCTTGACACACTTTGCATTTTGGCCTAGAGCCAGTCTTGTTCACAGCTTTTCAGTGTCAAATGGCTAAGTGGTTTGCATTTTACAGTGAGAGCCAGGCTAGATGAAAATTATCCCTCTCTGTCTGATAGACAAGTCATTATACTTTTTAAAAATCCAACATAAATCAAACCCGAGTTTTATCATTCAGCCTTTACTTTCCAAGACCATTTATGAAAAGACCCTCTTTCCATCAATCAGACATCTTTTGGTGACTTTTCCAATTGTAATGGGGGTGAAAATGAAGGTGTCCAGGGTACCAGGCAAATGAGAACAAGTAGAAAACACGGCTTGGTTAAAGATCATCAAGGACAACAAACAACTGGCATGAGGAAAACAATAGAGAGGGGTGAGGATTGTGGCGTGCTGGGAAGAGCATGACTGCTTCTAGGGAACAGCTGCACAGCTTATTCCCAACATGAGAAAGAGGCCAAACCCCAGGCCTTCCAAATCTTAACAGAGTCAGAAACACTCAGCTCCTGGCATGAAATATCTTGATCATTTAAATGCTGATATTTAACTTTAAAAAATTTTTATTACTTAAAAAAAATTTTTTGTATACTTATTTTAATAGCTTATTTTTATTCTGTTTTTTCCATTATCATTTATCCCCCTTATGCCCTCTTCCCCTCCACCTACCCCTCTCTCCGCCACTGCAGTCACCACCCAGGTGTCCATGTCCATGAGTTCTTTTTCTTTTTTACGTTCAATTCCTCCACATCCCAACACAACCCCCACCCCCACTGAGAAATGTCAGCCTACTTTCTCTCTGTGAGTCTGTGTCTATTTTGCTTGTTAATTCAGTTTGTTCATTAGATTCCACATATGAGTGAAATTTTATGGTATTTGTCTTTCTCTGCTTATTTCACTTAGCATTTATGCTGTCGCAAAGGGTAAAATTTTCTTCATTACAGCCAAGTAGGTATTTTATTGTGTAAATGCACCACAGCTGTCATATCCACTCATCTACTGATGGACACTTGGGCTGCTTCTGAATCTTGGCTACTGTAAATAATACTGAAATGAACATAGGAGTGCATATATCCTTTCAAATTAGTGTTTCAGGGTTTTTTGGATAAATTGCCTGAGGTGGAATCTCCAGGTCATAAGGCAGTTCCATTTTTTATTTTTTGAGGCAACTTAATACCTCAAAGTCACTGCTCTCCACAGTGACTATACCAGTCTGCATTCCCACCACTGGTGCACTAGGTTTTCCCTTTCTCCACATCCTCGCCAGCACTTGTTGTTGATTTATTAATGATGGCCATTCTAACAGGTATGAGGTGATATCTTTTGTGGTTTTAATTGGCACTTCTCTAATGACTAGTGACATTGGGCATCTTTTTGCCATCTGTATGTCCTCTTTGGAGAAGTGTCTATCCAGGTATTGTGCCCATTTTTTTTAAATTTTTTAATTTTTTTTAGAGGGGAAGGGAAGGAGAGAGGGAGAGAAGTATCAATGTACGGTTGCCTTTCATGCGTCCCCTGCTGGGAAGTGGCCTGCAGGGAACCGGTCTGCAACCCGGGTATGTGCCCTGACTGGGAATTGAATCGCAATTGTCTGGTTCGCAAGCCCGTGCTCAATCCACTGAGCTACACCAGCCAGGGCTTTTGTGCCCATTTTTTAATTGGGTTATTTTGGGGTTTGGTTTTGTTTGTTTTGTTTTGTTTTGTTTTTGGTGTTGAGCTTAATAAGTTTTTTAAATAAATTTTGGGTATTAACCACTTATCAGATGTATCGGTGAATATGTTCTCCCACTCAGTGGGTTTTCTTTTCATTATGTTGATGGTTTCATCTGTTGTGCAATATTTTTTAATTGATGTAATCCCATTTGTTTATTTTTTCTTTTGTTTCCCTTGCCTGAGAAGATATATCAGAAAAAAATTTGCTATAAGTGATGCCTGAAATTTAACTGCCTATATTTTCTTCTAGGGTTTTTATGGTTTCAAGTCTAATATTTAAGTGTTTGATCCATTTGGAACTTTTTCATATGTGTGGCATGAGCAGGTGGTCTACTTTCATCTTTGTGCAAATATCTGCCCAATTTTCCTGACACCACTTATTGAATACACTGTCTTTAGCTCATTGAATGTTTTTGCCCCCTATCTCAAATATTAATTAGCTATAAAGGCACAGGCTCATTTCTGGACTCTCTACTCTGGTCCATTGATCTATGTGTCTGTTTTTATGCTACTACCATACTGTTCTGATTACTATAGGCTTCTAGTATAGTTTGATATTAGGTGGCATGATTCCTCCAACTTTGTTCTATTTTCTCAAGATCATTGTTGCTACTCAGGGACTTTTGTGGCTCCATACCAATTTTTGTATGTTCTGTGAAATACATCATTGGTATCCTGATAGAAATTGCATTGAATCAATAGTTTTCCTTGGGTAGTATGGGCATTTAATGATGTTAACTCTCCCTATCCATGAACAAGTATATGCTTGCACTTATTTGTGTCTTCTTTGGTTTCTTTCTTCAGTGTCTTATAATTTTCTGAGTACAGATCTTTTACACCCTTGGTTAAATTTATTCCTAGATATTTTACTATTTTGAAGCAATTGCAAATGGGATTGTTTTTTTTTCTTTTTAAATATTTTATCTATTTATTTTTAGAGAGAGGGGAAGGGAGGGAGAAAGTTAGAGAAATATCAATGTGTTGTTGCCTCTC